GGAGAGGCTACAACACTGTATATTTCTACAGTCTATCACAGTAACAGAAAAAGTGGTGTGATTTGTCTGGCAGTAATGTGTGATAGAACTAATATAAATCTCAGGACTAGATGGAAGAACTTACAAATCCTTTAGCAGGGGAAGCAGCTCCCCTACATGTATTTCAATTGCATATTTTGAAGTTTGTCTGCAGTAAAGGTTTAAAAGAGAATTAAAGCCCACCTTTTTTTTTTTTGCTTTGCTTTGAGTTCTCTTTTGGGTCACAGGAGTACATTTACAAATGTATTCCTGTTACCCAAAGTCAGCATATAGCAGCTACTGCCCACTGTATGCTGACAGCGCAGAGCCGCACTGGAGCCAGGAGGGATCACGACAATATATTCCGGATCCACCCCGCTGCCTGATTGACAGCTGGCTCTGCCTCTCTAAAGCCAGAACCAGCTGTGCCTGCCCCTTCCACTGTCTGACCCTCTAGTGAGCGCTGAAGGAACATAGAGGGGAGAATCCTCATGCGGAGCGGTAACTGTCAGTCACCATTCTCTGCAGCAAGGAGACCATGAACTGAGCGATCAAAAGTTCATGATTGCTCAGCTCTTGATCTATAGAGCCGGCGGTGACAGATGCAGTGTCACTGGCTCTAAGTATTGGGAAGAGTACGTTTTGCTCTGCTAATACTTCTCCTTTAAAAGTGCACAATACCCAGGACTGGACTACTTAGCACTAATATGCTATCCAAGGGTCCAACTTAGAACGCATCCAGAAGGTGTTAGGCTCATGTCCGCCAGGTTTGTTCCTGACTACACATGTGGGCTATTTATTACCTGTCAGAGATCAGCTTTCACACTCGGTAAGCTGTGTTGCTGGATTATGAAAAGAATGGTGGGGGAGTTGAATGAACATATCTAACATTTCATATCTCTTTTTCTTATAATAACAGTTTCCTAAGGTTAGCTTTTCCAACGTTTTGTGTGCTATACTCTATGAAATGATTTCATAATAACGCAAAAATATTTTTTTCCAGAACAGCTTTGTGTATGGATACTTTTACCTTTTTCTCACACTCTTCACAATTCTGAAAAACAGTTTTCATCTTCTTTATGATGTCTACAGCAGGCGTTCCTTCAGATGACAAGTGGGTGCGGCAGTAAGGGCAGGCATATGAATTATTCCTCAGACTAGCTTTTATACAGGTGTGACAAAACCTACAAGACAGGAAAGGAAAACAATTAGTGTACTTTTCTAAATAAATACATCTATGGGTTTATCAGGAATTCTGCAAAACATACTCCTTGGAATTTGTGTCTTAGAATAATCCTTGGAATAAGTGTCTTTAGAACCCATTTGTGCATTCGCATGACAAATGTTGGTCCTTGCCCCAGATTTATGAACCTGTTGAATTTGGCCCAAGCACCAACATTTGCGCACTGAGGCTGGAGTGTCACTAACAGATACTACATCTGCAGTGCAGCTCAGTAACACTGTAACCGAGCCTGATAAAATCACAGGCTTAGTGATGCTGAGCTCTCTGCCCAGCCAACGTGACTGTTACACAGCAGGCACAGTGGCCAAGGAATTTTGCTGTGGGTTGGCAAAGCCCGATGGGGAACTCTGAAAGATTGCTATTGGCAAGGCAATTTGCCCACTGCCTGCTGTCAATCAGTAGCACAGCCGATGATGAGGGAACTAGTCCCTCATAATCCCCTTTAGGCTCCACCCACTGTTAAGGTGGCCATACATTATATGATTTTCGTTTGAAATGTTTCATTCGTTAGCCATACTAACCAATCAATTTTTGCCGAAATAATTTCCTTTTGTGCACGTGCTGTGTCCTTGCAGAGATTTTTAAAGAACGAAAACCCCACTGATTAATCAATTTTCGAACAAAAAATTTAAATTACAAATTCTCTTTCACAGCGAACTTTAGAGCTTTATTAGCAAAAACAAGCCAGTTTTTACCTTCAGGTAACTTGCCATTTACTTATGTTATGTTTAGTGTTTGTATTGACAAAAAAAGAAGCATGGCTTATACTTAAATAATGACACAGGGGATGCTTACAAACCCAAACCATATCATGTTCATACAGCTGGTAGATAATTCTATTTTGCTTACATATAGAAGAGATGGTGACAGTCTGCACTGGACACACCTACAGTTTAGTTGTTGCCCATTGCACTGCCATATTAGCTTTACTTATTGTTCTGACAAAAGTTAATAATTACACATGAGAGTACTGCTGACCTAGTTTTAAAGTTCACAACCTCAGATGATCGGTACATAAAGTCAATCAGATATGCTTAACATATAGGATTATGGGACATAAATTACGTTACAGATTTAAGTATATGTTTGGCAACTAGAAAATAGAGATGAGCCTGGACTTGGTGCGAACCCATTTTGCCTGAGTTTTCCCAAGCCTGCTGAAAACTGTGACTGCCACCCCTCCTTCCGGGCAAATGAATTTCAGACAGGCACATTTCTCACCCCACAACTATACGTCACAAAGGGATGGGGAATGCCCCAGACGCAACTGCCGCCACTGGTTGGGCCAGGATGGAGTAGTGGCGGTCACAGTTTTGAGTGGGCTTGGGCAAGCTCAGGGGGACTGGGTCTACTAGAGAAAACCTCAAAAGTTAGCTGCCAACTGTAATTTGTAGGGAGCACTGGTGACCTGGCTCATCGGATCCGTCCAGCCTTGTACTAAGGTATTCACTTACAAAGCATGTGGAAAACTAAAATGAACGTTTCATAAGCTTTAAAAAACGGCAAATAAACCTGAAACTCTGGAAAATTCCTGCTTCTTACTACGGAATGGAAGCATAATGTATATTTACCTTGTGTCAATAATACTGACTTATGGTTGAGATGTATTAGAACTTCTTCTATTAGAATTAATAGCTGCAGTTTGTTCGCTGGACTTACCAGCTTCGGAATATTACATTATATTGTCCACCCCTGACTTAGCCCATTCCCGGTCTAGATATATTTTATGTATGAATGTCATATGTTATGTATTAAAGTTGGTTACATACATTCATACCCCAGTCATGGGATAGGAAAGTTTAGAAAACACAATGAACCTTTTATGCAAAGACATGCTTTATTATATAAAAAACAAAACTAGATCCAAGTGGCATAAAGGTCTACACAAACTAATAATATCTACAGAAAATGTGGTATGTCAGACTCAAGGGTCTGGGAAACGACAGGACATTTCTAACCTTTGCTTCACAACTGCCTGCTAAATATTTTGGAGCACAACACTTCCCTCTAGCATTTGTTTGCATTGTCATCCATTTCAGTTGATGTCTTAAAGAGTTCAAGTCGAACGTTGCTGTAAGTTTATAGGGTTTGTTCACCATTACACTGCATTTTACACCCCCCCATGTATTATAGTATGCTCAGCACATTGGAAACAATTGCTCAGCTGTTAAAAAATGTGCTCCTGTAGCAGTCCATATCTATAGGATGTGTGTGACCTTTTTCCAAAAATCCCTTGGAAGGTGACACCCCTCTATTCTGCCTGAACGACAGGACCATATATTTCATGTGCGCTGCCAACCTGTTACAGAAGGAGGAAGAGTGCACTGCATATACACAGTGTTTCACCAGCTGGAGCGTATGCGCAGTACTTCAATTGTGGTGTGCTATGTGCATTTCTTCCAGATCTATTCAGTAATCCAAGCTGACACTTTGCCCTGTGCAGGAGCTTCCTGTAATAAAGAACAGTCACTGCTGCTCTCCCTCCTTGTGCAGGGTGACTGATCTTGTACCTGCCCCTCCTGTTGATTTCTGCAGGCCGCCTGTAGTGGGTGGGGCCTGCTGGGTGCCTCCCACAGCTCTGCTCTCTGTACAGGATATGTGCAGCACAGTAATTATGTCACTGCTACTTTTACAAGGTAATTGCAAAGGCATTTTGTGCACACAAAATGGATTTAGATCCATCCTACAGGTATGGGCTGCTAAAGAAGCACTTTTTTTTTTTTTTACAGCTGTGCAATAGTTTGCAATGTGCTGGGCATGCTGTAATGCATGGGGGTGGGGGGATTTGTGTAAAATGGTCTGTAAATGTAAACTAACCCTTTAATTTGTCCATGAGCAGCTTTTCTAGCTGGGATTTATGTCTTACAATTTGATCAATCTTCTAGGGGCCCACATTGGGCAGGATAAGTCATTGTAATGTTTTTGTCTCTCCTTTTTGCCTTTAGAAGCTCAACGGTCATAGAGAAATAGGATGATATCATTTTGGGTACATGCCAGGAGACAAGGAAATGATACAAAGTTCAAAACAACATGCTACAGGCTTCCAGTCTCCAGTAGCAATATTCATAGTGATTTCATGGCGTCCTGCTTGACTAGAGCATGTGGTGTACAAAGTAAAGCATCAGTCGACAAATTAATATGCAATTCAGAAGCTAGCCTGTCCAATCCAGGAGCCAGCAGGATTTCGTTTTAGAAGCCAGCTCTATTGACAACAACTAAAAAAAAAAAACATTAAAAAGTCAGACTCCAAACTAATATAGAATTCAGGACCCAGTCTGTCCATCTCCGCTGACAACAATTAGAGAAAACCTTAAAAGTTAAGCGCAAACTTCTTATTTTTGAGGAGCATTGGCTTTCTGGCTCCCAGGACTTGTCTTGCCCTGATATAAACCATAAATTGAACTGGATCTGGAACAACATGATTAACACCAATAATTAACATGAAGCCAGGACAAAAAAACACTAGAAATAGAATTATTGTTGAGCAGAGAAGGTATTCTAGAAGGTGCTGATTGGAGGGAGAGATATTTGGACTTTTTTTTTTTTTGACCATGTCCATAGACCATTTATTTCATCAACAATCTTCCTATACGATTATACTGTATATGCAATTAACATATTTTAGCATTGTTATCTACTTGTAAAGGCATCCATTGTCTATACATTTAAAAACATTGAGACTGATACTGGAGTGACTGTGATGTCAGCAGCCCGAGTAGACTCAGAGCTGCCACTCGACTATCACTCTACACTATTCCTCATCGTTCCTCCCTCAACAGCTACATAAGAGTTTATGCAGGGAGATGAAGGGAGGGACGGTGGAGCTGGGCCAGCTCTCTGGAAGAGGAGAGGACTAAAACCTGCAAGAAAGAGGGGACTATGCTAAGGATTTGACTCTTCCTGAAAAAGTCAAATTTTATGGCAAGTTCAAAGGCGCATTGCTGGTAAATCAAAAATTGATTATGGAAATCAAAAAGGCTACAAGTAAGCATTTAAAATGCTTGATTCTGTGCTTTTACCTGTAAGTGGGTGACAGGGTCTCCCAATACCACAACTACTACTGGTTTATGTCTATTACTTTGTTCCTCTCCCCAATCTGCCTAACCTGTGAAACCAGAAGTACACAAATAAATAAATAACTAGGCCACACGTCAAAATCCTGAAGATCAACTTCAAAGACTACAACAGATAAGAGTGGACATCTTACCATAGCAACCAGGTTTCAGCTGTCACTTTCTGGCTAGTTGCTATGATAAACCATTATTTTCCACTACACCGCTATTTGAAATTTAACTCCACTGATACCTTACTAATTTCACAGCTACAAATGTAAAAACCGACCATAGCGCATCAAAATTGGGCACTTACTTTTATTAAAAGGTAGCAAAACTCATATCTCAAGGTTTGTATTGACAAAGGAGGAGTTTTCTATCATTGTAGGTCCTTGCAGCTACAGTATAGTATGTACTGTATGCAATTAAATAAAACACGCTCAGCACAGCCCAAAAGGCATTGGGTGTGAATAGACCCTATGAGCATGCACTACTTTTTTCTACTACACCGCAACACACGGGTTATTGTGGTGTGGTCTAACGCATTGAGACTGGGAGGTGCTTTTGGGGTGCCATTCATATGAAGGGCAACGCAACGCACCTGCTGCACTATGACACATGGTAGGTGTATTGTGCAGTAGTGTGTGTTAATTACACAGAACCATGTGATTAACACAAGGTAGGGCCCTGTTTGGGGAGGCCCTGTCAGGTGGCCCCATGATTTCTAATGGCGGATAGGGATACTGGTCATTTAGATTCCATGCAAAGACAACTGTCTCCTTTTTTCCAATTTGTACTATGAAAAGATTCAATAAAGTCTTCACATGTTACCTCCGACTCTTTATTACTGTGTTAACCACACTCACTACAGACTAGGTGCTGAAGTACC